AAACACCAAAATCAATGATTTTTTTTCAGTGGCTGTGTGACTTGTGTCTAATGCATTCATATGCAAATGACTAATCTGTGAAACAAACAGGGGCGGAGACAAACCACTCAAATGTTTGGAAACACTCATTGTGTGTCAGATAGCTACTGATAACACATCCTAACATTGCTTTGTCTTGAGTTTATCTTTGAAACTTATAGGCACACAGATTAAACCTGTGTTGCTGATTTTGGAAAACACTACTGAGGCTGCCTTGCTTCCCTTCAGAAAATCTACATTTTAACCAACTTACATGACATTCTATATTATGTTGACTTTATCACATGAAAGTTTATAGTGCATTTTATCAATTAATAAATAAATATGAAAATCGTAATTTTCAACACAAATAATAGTCTCGCTACCTTAATTTTACTGACATTTAATGTAATTTCACTATTTTGATGTTTTGAGCATATTCACTGTGTTTTACAAATTTGTCAAGAAAACAATGAGTTTTATTGTTATTTTACATGTAATTTAGCGGATTTTACTTATCAGCAAAAATAGCAAAATTAAAACCCAGTGAATAATTAATGCATTTACAGAATATATAAGCATTACAAAAACCTGGAAATGTTCAGTGCATTATATTATCACCTTATCAACTAAATATTTCATTCTTTTTTTCCACTTACTTTTAAAAAATCTTGAAACCAATAGTTTTGTGATCTTTCCCGAAGCCAAAATTATTGTCAAACATTTTGATTAAAACATACATTAAGAAATAATCAACTTGTGTTTGGCTCAATTTACTTTTTAGAAGATTTGAGTTTATTTTGTTTACAATACTCTCAGTGCAACAACATTCTCTTCATCTTTATAAATATTTATAAATTTAACAATTGAAACTGAAATGAGAGGCTTCTATTGGCTGAAAACTTTTTAAATGACATGGTTGATTGGCTGGTTGAATTCAACTGCCATTGAAATTTATAAATATTCATGAAGTTAAATCAAATGCCTTTGTTGCGCTGAGAGTAATGAAATAATTAAAAGCTATACATGTACTCACTTAATAATTTATCTTGTTCGTTAACTAATGCTTTAAGATCATCAATATCACCCTGACCAGCTTCCTGTTCTAGCAACAACTGTTCCAATCGTTTTTTCTTAGCACTGAGCTCTTTGTTTGCAACTTCTTGTTTATTCAATGCATCCATATATTCTTGTTTTTCTTTTGCCATCTGCTCATCATACTGCATTTGTGACATCATCTGTTTAACCGATGTATTCTTACCAAGGTCTACCACATCTTGGTATTCTTTTCTCCTAAAATTAATTAATGTAACAAAACCAATTGTATAAAAAAATGCTCTGACATGTTTATGGATGAGATTTTGGTATTAAACAAAATAAAAATCAATGGTACATATGTATAAGAGGTATTCACTGGAGTGAACATCCAGGCATTTTTACTGCATGACAACTGCTAGTTGTTGAGACTCTCCTGAACAGTAAAACAAGATTACCCCTACATGTGCAACATATATAAATCTGTGGGTTGTTCAGAATTAATTGTCTTATAGTTGGGATTGTGTTGTTTTTTCAACTTTAGCTGTTTTCACTAGATCTATGATTGAATACATGGGACAGTGGTGTGCCTCAATCTTAGCAACATAGAACATTCTGTAAAGTAGCTCTGCCTCTAAGAATAACAGATATGCCATATATATGCTTTATCAAAGAAACATGCATACAAACCATTGTATGCTGTGTCATTAAAATATGACTTGACCACACATGTATCGGTATGCGTTACTGATGAAGCAAATATTTTATGCATTTAGTAGCAATTATTAGCTTGGTGTCTGCATGACAACCATTTTTATTCTGCACATTTACAATACTAATATAAAATAAAATATTTTGCTCATTAACCAGATAAATTGATTGCAACATCATTCAGAATTTAATTGACAGTTGCACTTTCATTTCCGCAGCAACTAAAAGTTGATATATAGCATGTAGATAAATGTAAAACAGTCCATCACTGATTTAAAGCAGCGTATTCTGATTACCAGTGTGAAAATGAACTTTATGGCCACACACTGGTAGCAAAAACAAAATATCGCATTCATTTCAGACATCAATAAAGAGTGGATAAGTAGAACAGTAGTTGAGTACCCAGGCTAACATACAGTCAAATGTGTTTGCGTATATGTATATATGTATAAAAAACACAATTATATTCACATCTACATGTGTATTTATTTGTGGTTACACAATACACTTTTTACCCAAAATTCTTTGATTTATTGGAAAACGCCTTCAACTTAGAATTCAATACTTATGTTATAATGTTATAGTAGCATAGGTTCATTCAGGTGTAAAATTGAGGTATGCGTATGGTCCTAAAAAGACTTTGATGACATAATTAAGAACCCATTTCCTGTTATATAAATCACACAAGAATAGGAAATACATTCTTTGCACACAATGTACTGAAAGTCTTCAGTACTTTATAATGACACAGATTATATTGCCATGGAAACATGAAGTGATATTATTTGCTGAAAATATAACCTTGTTTTTATGAAAAGATGTTGCATTAGATGACCTAGGTGATGTTCAATTTAATCAAAAACTGCATTGTGGGTAATAATAAACTAATCACTGAAAATTATTCAAGAAAAAGACATAAATGATTTGTAACTATGGTTACCAAAGTCAGTCTATGTATGTATGGATGGAATTAAAAGATATACTTAGTCTTTCATACATCTTCAAAACTGGGATAGTTTTTAAAAACAGATTGAAAAAATTGGTACGTTTGACTGCAGAAGATAATTACTAGTAGCAATATAATGAAAGCATTATTATTATTAACTGTGACAGAATAAATGTAAATTATTATCACTATGAAGTGCTAAAATACAGTTTATATGACGGAAGATGTGCATGGCTACACACTATTCAAAAGTCTCAATTCATTCATCAGACTTTTATGGCCAAATGCCTGAGGAGGAATCTTCTGACACATAACTACAATACGCATCACGATACTCTCATCTTTATGTGGTTACCATGGTGATGTAATCACCAGCCTGGAACAGTACACTCCCTGATATTGTATTGTACAATAGTAACTATGACAACATGATATTGCCGATTGTATTTCATTCTCAATCATCCCTTTTTTGTACAGGTGAACTATAAGAGTTCTCTACATGGCTTTTAATAACTGCACTCTGATTTAAGAAATTTTATACATAAAAAAATGTTTTCAAATCTAATCTAATTTGACTGATGGCAGTATCAGCTGCCGATAGCCTTTCATCTCATCATCCTAGTGTTTACTGATTAATGTGAACTTCGATATTATGAAGGCTCTCAATTTCAAAACCAAAAACTATAATGCTTTAGACCTTGAGGGATGGATTAGAGTGTAAAGTGACAAATACGTAACTATATTATTTATAAAGTGAATCTCTATAAATTATTTCAGGTCTTAATAAATATGTACACTGTGTACATGTGAATAGTTTTGTAAAGCAGGAATACTGTGGAATACTTTATTTTCGCTGGAATTAATTTTCGCTGAAAAGGCATTTTAAGCGTTTTATATGGAATATATTTTCACTGATTTTTGATGAGTTTAATGTGAAATATATGAAAAAAAAGTATATTCGCTGGATTTTATTTTCACGGAATAATCCTTCAGCGAAAATAGCGAAAATAAATTCCAAGCGAAAATAAAGTATTCTACAGTATTCAAGAATTAATTTGAATTAATTTGTAAGAGTCGTTATATGTTTACATTTATGTCTTCTTTTATGCGAATGTCACAAATGTCATTCACTGATCAATACAAGCTCACAATCTGCTGTTATATATTAACAGGAACACATACATAAATATTCAATAACAGAAGCAGGGAACAAGGCATTAAGGTATAGATGCATGTTCGTGGGCACTCAGAGTGAATTTTTTTTTTTTTGCTTTTCTTGACAGTCTTGGCTAGATAGTGTTGAAATTTCGGAGCATTGTCAATAATGGAACATGCCCAAAAATGGATTTTAAAATATAGGGAATCGAGGCACGCGTATGTGATTAAAAGTCTCGAAAGTTTGTTTACGTTGCTCTTTGATTGACAAGTCACTATTGATGGTATATGCAAATGAGTTGCTGGCCTCAGTTACGGTTACCTTCAGAATGAAATACCGGCGTACTTGCCACCCAGAAACTATTAGCAAGCATGTAGCCAAATGTAAACAAATATAACACCCAAGACATGACAAGATTCTACTGAGAGATAATTTAAAAGAGATTTTATGAACAATTAAAGCGGGGGAGTCGTCACCTGCGCATGCGTCAGATGGCCATAGTGTGTCATTGTTTACAAACAAGTGTCTACCCATGAGCCTTTGCATTTTTATAGTGTGTTATTATCGTCGCTTGGGACTCAATTCTCGCGCATCCGCAGGTGACAACCCTCTCACTTCAACTAAATTTTGAAAATTCGTATATAATTATGTCATCTCTGAGATTTAGTTATTCTGCTATATTGGTAATGTTACTGCTGTTACCTTACTCCTGTGACAGTCGGTTTATGATTTCAGGTCACATGTGAAATGCTGTAGCACCTGTTCTATTGACATAGATTGATTCTCTGTTGAATGACATTGTTACAAAAAAAATCTAATTTTCAGTTGAATTGGATGATGTGTGTCAACCTTGTTTAGAGAAATTCCAAAATCAAAACCAATTCACAATGTTAATGATTGCGACATAGAATTTCAATGTGTAACTTTCAAATAACCAAGAACTAAAAACTAGCATGTTCAGATTCTCAATGAAATGAACACATGTTTGAGGTTTATTCCCTCCCCATTTGGGTCCCCCTCTGAACTTGTCTATGACTTGCATTATAAATCAAGTTATAAAACACACTATATTTCTCTTGCTGTAACCACAAAGATACCAGGTTATCACCAAAAAATATCTTCTTGCAAATGAGGCAGATTTATAGTTTTATCATTGTTTCTTTGTAAGGCTAAAATTGTTTTATTCACAAGACGGAATTTGATATGTCAAAAAAAAAAACTGTCAACAAACAAACTGGTTTCTGATTGGTCTAAATGTTAGGTGTTAGGGTTGGGTAGCCAATCAGGAACAATCTAGTAAGAAGCTTACATATTTACACACATTTTAAAACACCAAATGTGGAAGTCAAAACAAAATACTGTAAAACATGTTGAAATAGCTGTATACATTGAATTAGCAGAAATACATAGATTAGTTAAAATAACATGCAAATTAGAAAGACATGTTTTACAGTAGTTTTCTTTTTACTTACGTTTGTGCTTCAAGCTGTCTGAATTTGTCATCGCATGTCTTGATTTCCATCTGTAGTTGATGTATTTCTTCTGCTTTTACACCATACCTTCTACCCACACCTTTGGATTCAAGTAACTGGATATCTTTCTCCAATTCCATCCATTTCTTCAACAAACCTTCATTAAACTCAACCTGTTCAGGCTAGAACAAAAAAATCATTTTCTCAATATTTAATATTTTTTATTAATTTCAATATTTAATATTTTGCTCAATATATTATTTGATGCAAATTTTTGATCAGAATTAAGCTAAAAACAAGTGGTACTTAACATCAAATATTGATGTAACATATTTCTGTTTTTTGGTCATCATTTCACCTATTAAGTATAAGTAGGTAATAAAAACAAGCTGTTTTGTTGTCAATTTATCTAAACACTGCATCTGACATTTTAAGTATCAACCGATGGGTGGTGTCTGGGTATGATATATTTCGATGACATTACAAATCAGACACAACATCACATCACATCGTCATCGTTGTGCTAGCTTCTCATATTGAAGAGTTGACTGCTATCAGGTAACACTTGCAATTACTCAGAAATGTCAAATCCCCATATTCTTTTCTGTTTAAAGCATTTCTAATTCAAAATGTTTTGATGATTGTTCTTTATGAAAATGCAAAAATTCATGAAATTAAAAAAACAGACCAATTTAAAATGAGGCATTCCAATAAGCATGATCAGTTTTTCTTTACATATGGTTGCTATGACAAAAAGTAGGAAAAATATACACATACTAAATTTTGTATAACAAATGTTATTTTAATCAGTATTATTATTAAAATATTAAATGTCAATCAGACAATTTGTGCAAATATTAAAAATTTATCATAAGAAATATATTAAATTGATATATTCTGTTTGCAGATTTTATTTAAACCGATATTATTATATTATTATATTTCTGTGAGCCAAATAAAATTATCAGCTCCAAGTGATTGTCTAAAAACAACTAAAACCTAATTATAGATTAATGCCCTCATTCTTGGAGCACTGACTAAATTTTTACACAAATTATGTTTATTTATCTTGTTTACAAGTTTTGTTAACACCTTTTGTTTACATATTAATCTATTGTCATAAAAATCTAGCTCTAAATGGCAGCACATGATGGTTGCTACAAAAAAGCCCTGGTGAAATTCATCTATATTGTAGTTTTTAGTAGCTTACAAATGCACCAATCAGCATGCCTCCCAGTGAACAGTGAACCAATCATTCTACTTGTATAAGCTGATAATCTGTGCCCTTGTTGTAAAACGAATGCTGATTGGTCATCTGCTTTTATGACATTTAAATCTTAGTGTCAAAGCATAGAACTTAAATTAATTGTTGGTGTGTATATTTTGCCAAATTAATTTTGGGACCCAGTGGAAAATTATATATGATGAGCGGGATGAAATTTCAGATATTTTACATACAAACACCACTTAATATAATTGCATGTACTTTGTTGCTTGTTAGTATGAGGGTTCAAACATTCTCTTTCTCAGAGCTCCTTGAAGTTAGAACACTAAAAGTATCTCTGCGACCACACACCACCATTTTTGTTGGTGAAACGCCACAAGACTTTGATTACACATATTCTTGGCATGTTTTTATTATTAGCGGGCACTCATATTGCTGGGTGAAATACTGAGGTTACACTCTGCTGATTGCCACTGGTGAAGAAATATAAACAATCAAAAGTATGTTGTAGTTTGATGGCTAACTCGTCCTACTGCCGCTTAGTTTGTGCTATGGAAAGTCAAACATGAGCTTCTCACCATGGAGCCAGCCAGAATCTTACAAATATTGATTACCCTTTTGTCAGGTTCCAAAATCGAACATCAGCATAGCAATGTTTTGGTGGACATTTTTAAAATTAGTACCATTGTAATCCATCTACCAACCAACAGCGAGCATAAGTTCCCAAGATATATTCTAAGAAATAAAACTCTGCGTGGGAGATTGTGTTTCAATATCACATTCTATTATGGCAGAGTATATCTTCAAATTTGTTAATCTAATATATACTGTATAAACAATTTATTTTTTATAGTAAGAATTTTTGCAATTTGATAATTTAATGGTGTTTGTGAAGACAAAATACACAAACTCTTCTAGAGATAATTTAAAATTTGACAAAGCTAAGTCATACATAACTTACCACGTACCATTCAATAGCGCATTTTGGATAGCAAAGTCCATTGAGGTTCATTTGATACTCAAAATATGGAATGGTGGTTCATGTAGGGTAAGTAAGACTCAGCTTAGTAAAATGAAGGTGATTGTGACAACACAATAAAATCAGTGCTGTGGTGTATACAGTTCAAGATAGTAGTAGAAAAATACTGCCTACCCCGAATCCCGACTTGAAATGCTGATTAAAACAGAAACAAAATGTTTTACCTCATCATCCGACTCTTCTTCTGGCAGTGGCTGTGATACTGGTTTGGTTTGTTGTGGTTGTACGGATGCTGTTGGTTTACCTTTAGACTGAGTACTTGTACCAGCATCCTGTGAAATTGCACAACCCATCTGTGAATAAAATTAATATAATAATTCAAAACAGGTCAGCCAGACAATCATGAATGGAAGTAATCTCCATTAGAAGGGAAAACCTACTGTCAAATTAAACGAACAGCAGGGAGCAAATATAGAGCAGGCAGGTACTGAAAATGTAAACAGTAAAGTCATATTGGTTTAAGACAATAGTATATTTACATACAGTCTACTCTTTAATGATTGATGTGTCTGTTCATATCGGTAAAATAGCGAATATCAAGATTTGCTATAGATCAGCATATGTAGTGATTCAATGTACATAGTGATCATAGTGTGTACATTGGTTACACATACACTATAGTAACTTAGTACACTGTCAGCTGACTTGAAGAAACAATAGAGTTGGGTCAAATTACCTACTTATATTTGTTTGTTCCATCACTTCATGACTCTGAGTCAGAAAAAGTAGGGAAATATGTTACAAGAGGACCCCTGGTTCAGACTTACTATTGGAACTTGAAAGGGCAGTGTTCGTGCCACGTCCTGTTTGATATAGGACTCATAGTGACGTACACAGCACATATTAAATACATTGTTTGTTTATATGGAATTCAAACATATGCTACACAATGACCACCATCATTTAATAATATTTAATTAATCTGGAAGATCAACAGCTGTAAAAATACATAAGTGTCTGATATATGATGTTACTGATTAAATTATTCTTCCAAAATATTAATTATATTAATATTAGGGTATCAACAGCTATAATTAAATCAACTTCGAAAACTGACCCAATTAAAATGCTTGACTAAATCATATAAAATAAATGCAAATTACTGTTACATTGAATTTACCAACTGTTTGTGTAAATGCATTCTGATCATTTTAACTTTTAGGGGGTGATGGTCGCCACACCATGCCATGTTCGATATGAATTCCTCAGTGATATATGCAATGCAAATAAAATACATTGTTTGTTTACAATAAAATTGAACATTACGAGATGAATTCTACCTTTTAAAGTCACAAGCCAGTTTTAAAGAAGGTGGACCAATCTGCTTAGCACACATGTGTTTTACAACAGTGCAGTATATGATTTATGTCACACAATTCAATGCCACTCCTACCACTTACCGTCTATTGTCAGAGTTCAATTTCTGATCACAGTCTAGTTAATTCAATATTGAATTATTTACACCAAATGACTTTATATAACAAAATAAAACAGTTACCATGGCAACATTAAGTGCAGAAAGTGCTACTATAATCTGGCTGTTACTATTACTGGAATTGACAACCACATTACTATATAGGAAACTTTGATTATCAATGACACAAATTGGATTACAAGTTCCTATGATGGATTTAAAGCAGGCAAACCTCACAATAAGAACAACAAGTACCATAATTTGTAAGCAGTAATTTCAATTCATTCTTGAAAGTATTCAACTTGATTACTAATATGAAACATATTTAGGCAGGTTACTCAGCTCAACTTAGATATATGATTATTTTGAAAACAAGCTAAACTAGCTTTCAGCCAGCAAAATGTTAAGTTGTGCCTGAACTGCACTACATGCAGAGGTTTTTCTAGAAGAAATGAACAAGAGGGAGCACACACAGGCGAGGGAGTGGAGCAACATGGTGAATCGACCTGGAAACGCCATATCAGAAAGTTTCTGCGCTGTTTTAATGGTGTATCTATCGCCATTGTAATATTTTTGGAGTAATTTTAGTGTATTTGGTTTCCAGACACAATGTCAGCTGGTGTTGCTGGGAAGTTTTCACAGAGAAAAATATATTTGAGAAAGGTTTCATGTTGTACGGTAGCACGGAAGTCCGCGGCTCAAGAAATATATTTATGACTTGAAAGTTCAATCGGTAATTCAGTAAAAGGGCACCAGCCAAGAGTATCAGGGCGCTGCGCTCGTTATCCGGTTTAGAAAAACCCCTGCTATATGTATAGTGGTTCCTGGAAAAGTCTATTACCAACTGTTACATGTACATGTCATTTTTAAATCAATATTTTCTGCACATGGTGAATACATTAAATTTGGTCAGACAGTCTTGCTTTAATAGGAGTTTTTTTTTTTTAATCTTTAGAGAAATGTCACAAACTATTTAAAATGGTAGCTTAATATAGTTGCAATCTAAAAATTATATTTCAGTAAAGAAGACAAATATTGGAATAAAAATATACTGAATTGATTTGACACATTTTTTTACTACTTAAAAAATCCATAGCCTAAATGCTAGTTACAGCAAACCAATGTAAAATACATATAGTATATAGCATCCACCTCAAAAAGAAACTGTAGAAATAAAAAATATAAATATATTTGCTTGCCTTGATTAAGTTGCAAAATTTAGTTGTGAACACTTAACATCCAATTATCTACCAGTACTATCATTTTGGTATTTATACACTGAGATTCATTTGACCAAACTGGCAGCAAAAGGATAAAGGGCAGTCACTGATTACATTAGACAGGCAGTCTAATAGGGTCATTTTACATATATTGAGACTGCCAAAAGATGGGCACAATTTTTAATTTTTTTTTTTTTTAATTTAAGCAAAATATTTCAATGTCTATTACTTATAACTACATACATATACCGGTATATGCTGTATCAGAACACAATTTTAACAGCAGAAGACATAACTCTAAAAATACATTTACTGTATGCTGGATTATTAAAATATGACTATAGACATACCTCATAAGAACATGTGATATACTAATAGAATAAATACGGTAGTTATTCTTATGGCCATATCTGTATAGAAAACTGGTATATCAGTACTGTACTTATTCCCCTAACATTAACAACAATGTGACTTAATATATGGTAAACACAAATGACATGATAATCTCTCTCATGTTTCCGAGTAATAATCTATAATACAGGAAAGTACTACTAGATCAGTCTATGGAATGTTCTGAAGGACACAGTGATTATGGACAGTGACCTTGTCAGGTTATTACTTGAAACTGCCATTTGAAATGCTTTTTCAGTCAATCAAATGTTCTTATATTTATTTAGACAAATTACAATTAACAAATATGTTTACGTAAATCTCTGTCATTAAATATCAGCAGGTAAAAATCAGACTGTAGTAGGTAAGTACTAGTAAATGCCCTTAAACTATGGACGATTATTGTTACAAGTCTGCGCTCAAACCTTTCTAAATGTATGAAGGCTGCACATTATTATCGTTAAATGTTAATATAATAATTGTTGACGTAATGGAACAAAAATATACAAAAATGACGCTAACCACCTGTTTTTATTTGCATTTAATATTACAATAACAGAACTACCTGCTGGCTCCGATTCAGCAGTCTTACTGTGCAGTTGCCTGTGTATCTCACACATGTTTAATCATTTCATAATTGTAATATTACTACCGTTTTACAACACATTGTAGTGACTGGTTATGAGTTCATGTAATGGATTCACTGAATGATGGCACTGCAGAATGACAACAATGAAACCTTGAGTCGTCTGCATGGTTGAGGTCCACGGACTCGACCAAACTCAACACATAGTGTGTACATTGATAGTGACAAATCAAGTCGGCAGTTGAAGACGACAACAAAACACTGTTATCTAGTTACAGCTTGGACAATATGTTCTGATTTACCATCAGTCACTGACTATAAAGTCTTTGGAAACTTAAAATCAGATTTAAAACTCACCTTTCCGTTTAACAAATCTGGAAATCCGGTAAAAATCCAGGCCCCTGTCCTCGGCGAACAACCAGTCGAGCAAAGCCTCGCTTTCTATGGATCAATCTAATTTGCATATCAATATGTGACGTCAGCTCACTATAGCAATGGACATAAACAGACAACATCAGAAGGCAGAACGTAGAGGTTGTTATTCATGGTCATGCCTTCGTTACGTACATAAATACTTGAAAATAAAATAAACAAAATGAAACTGATTAACGCAACAAAAATAATCAAATTTACAAACTATCCTAAATTATCTCTTCGCCATTCAAAACATGTCTTATCAACATTCACCGAGTTGCTTCCGGGACGGAGACAGCAAAGTGAAAATGAGCAAACTGTATAATAAATTATTAAACTTCTAACGATATTTAACAGAAATAAAATATACTCTTCTGTCACCATTAATATATAAATATGCATTATGATATTATCAGACTGGCGGGGACTGACAACGAAACACGGCCATAAATGTATATGTTTTGATGTTATAACAAAACATCACAGTATCATAGCAACAGCTCTGGAATATATAAGACACGATGTCAAGGTTCATGATTCAAAATCAAGCTCAATTACCCCCAGATTTTAGTTTCGTTTTCATATACCAAGTTTTTCACAGGGATTAAAGGGTGGTGGTCGTCGCGCCACGCATGCGCGAGATATGGGTCCATATAAACAAAGACGGTGATTTTGACGGTTGCGCACACCAATGAGTGAAAACCGAGAGGTTACCAAGCTTTATTTATTTATTTATTTATTTATTTATTTATTTATTTATTTATTTATTTATTTATTTATTTATTTATTTATTTATTTATTTATTTATTTATTTATTTATTTATTTATTTATTTATTTATTTATTTATTTATTTATTTATTTATTTATTTATTTATTTATTTATTTATCGAAGGTATCGAAGAAGTCGTCAGCGATAATTAGTGGAGTGGCGCCCAGGACAAAACTCGTACTTGTGATTTCAATAGAAGAGCGCACTGGTTCGTGGGAAAATCAATGTTTATCAACACAAATATCGCACATGCGCGGTACGACGACTACCGCCTTTCAAACTTGGCAAAGCATCAGGAAATTCTCGTGTCCAACTTTATTATAACACGGTATGGAAAGATAGTTTTCAATTACTGGATGGTCTATCATTATCGCATGGGAAAACTTTGCCCATATACGTGTAAGAATATGTGTTAGAAGTAAAAAAAATCAGATACCTTCAAGATGACGAACCAAGGCGAAGCCGAGGTTCTTAATTGAGCTTCGAAGATCACTAAAACTTACTATATTCACCTAAAATATCAACATCATTTTCTATTTTCTAAACTACCCAATACATAATATTTTCACCTTGACTTAACCACAATTAGTTTCATTAGAGCAATCATTTCATATTAGTATAGTAATAATTTTGCAATAAAACGAACATGAACGTAAGTGTCTTGTTCTGAATCCGGGCGTTTTTAATCTACAGCAAATTGTATAACACACACGGCGGTTAATTAAAAAACAGCAATCTCTCTATGGTTCTCTAAATACACGTGATTTAAAAAAAATGGTCCATGGGTGCGTTATTTTCTATATATTGTGGAAATACAAGTATGGAACAAACCGTGACGAACAACGATTGTACTACTCATCACCTGTAACACATGCCATCGGGTAGTCTGTCGTAACGTTCACGATTGTATTACCTGTAGGTCTCCACAAGAACCATACCTTTGGTCAACATTTCGCGTTCCAGTCAGTTTGCGCATTTTTCCAAGTAACACGTGTACAGCCCGATTTTAACTATGTATGTATTTTTCTGTAGAGATTGTAATCGATTCACTTTTTCGATTGACAACACGAGACTTACACGTTTATGGTACCCAGTGTATTCGAATAAGGCTAAACAATCACGTGACAAATTATAGAAACCCCGAGAATGCTGAATAAATGTTTTGCCACGTCTCAGATAAAAATATTGCAGTATATCAGGCCAAACATTGTCCACATTTTTTATATATGGTTTGGTATCAACGACAATCCCACGTGCAGTATTTTGATACAAATTAAATACGGTCATAAATTATGATTATCTGCTTTTACTATTGGCGCAACAGACCCATTTCCTTCATTTTTTAATGAATATTCATAAATGGAAGTATAAATCTAACCAGCCAATCAACGAGAGCAGCACGCAATTTGAAATCGTTCCAATGTTATTCCATCGGCCAATAGAAAATTCTCAATTCAGTGAAATTGTTAAATTTGTGAATAAATATTTATAACGATGAAGGAAAAATATGATGTCGATAGTAACATTTCAGGAGTTAATAATTTACGACTCAGGGGTACCATATGCGCTATCTTATCGTTGATGGCGCACTAGCATCTGAAATTCCAGCTTTATGAACAATATTAAGAATATACGTCAGGTAGACCTGTATAATAAATATATGTTCAGCAGACTGTCTAATAAATGACTAACGTTTAGAGTGACTGTACGAAGTTTCACGGCACGGTAAATATCCAGGGTAGCATACGTAGATAAACTATAATGTGCCTTGATTTTGTGAGCTAGATATACTAGTATCACAGTAAAATTTATGGAGCTAGCCTGCTTCGTACATTACAATAAATTATTAATGAAAATTACACTGTGACAGAATATATAATAACTGATGTAAAATAATTTACAACAATCAACTATGTTACAGTAATAACATGAATCTTAGACGCTGCATATTGGCACTATGAGGAGACGATATGTCTATAGCTAGTTGATTATTCTACTCGTCACCTGTACATGCCGTCGGGTATTCTGTGTTAGAAATGGAATATAGCAGAGTGGGACTGTTAACGTTTAGAAGCATCTATATTTATATATACATGTACATGCAAGGAATTGGTATAAACTCACATAATGTATATTTTATATTATGCACTCAATAAATGAAACTGATAAAAAAGCAAGATTCAGAGCTTATCGCAGAGTTCACACAGGTACATCGATGTCTGATGTGAACCATCACACGGACGTCCATGGAAATTGTAATCGCAGCTAGACTGATTAAAAATGTACATAGCTAACACAATTTTGACTTTGAGGAATATCATGTGTTGCGCCCTCCAGTGACAGTGACGTCAAAATGCCGTATGCGGGTGAAAGCAATGACAAATGCATATTAAATCGATAATTGTGTTTTGTTTTGTTTTGTTTTGTTTTGTTTTGTTTTGTTTTGTTTTGTTTTGTTTTGTTTTGTTTTGTAATCGTTCATCATCTAGAACATGGTCAAATATCTTGGAACACAATCTTCATTACTGGGGTACTGCAGGTGAAAACGATTTGATCTCCTGGGGACAGTAGACATAAATCTGGGTTGAGGGGTGCCACAACCTTCTGACAGTGTGAGCGTTTTTATACCCATTCATTGAACAAATTTATACCCAAAGCACAATTTCTAAAACCTATATTTATCCAAGGCAAGCGACTTGAAGCTTGAAATAGCCCACAGTCGAGCAATAATAAATGCATGCATACTGGTATATTTTTATAAACATCATAGTGGGGGAAATAAATAAACTTGGCTTCGTTTACATTCTTGTGTTTAGATCTTGTCACTTTGGGATTATAGGTTATATGATATGTCTGTGATTAGTAAAGAGTTTCCCTTATGTCACAAAATTATCTAATCTAATGCCAGTGTAAGTCCATTCAAGATGCATATGTACAAAGTATCAATTCAATCAAATTAGTAGTCATCAAAAGATGTCAAATGGCGTTTTTGGCCAAATAATATTCGCTAAAATGTCAGATTTGACACGATATCGGCACGAAATATTCAAGTCTATTAGAGGTCCACCCAAATACATATATATATACGTCCAAGTATCAACCCAATCAGAGCAGAAGTTTTCAAGAAAAAGTCGAAAATATCCATCTTCGATGATAGCAAAGCTAATAAAGACAACAGAGACTTTAATTTTATTTATTTTGTCAAATGTTGCCAAACCAGCACTTAAAGGTACCGCGCCCTCCATTTTACTGTGTTTGCCTGAACTACATGAAAGGCGTTGCTGGGGCGTGATTGAAACAATTTGACGATATTTACGCGGGATTTCCATACTTGCACATAGATCCACTGTGACAATTATTCAAAAAGAGCTACCCCAGATCTGCCAGCTATTTATACAAAGAATTTATACCTTTTTTGGACATTAAAGAACCTCGATAAACAGGACCCATTCCAGTGGCACGTCGATCCCTTAATCCCGGTAATTTCTATATAGTGCACCCCGGGAACGATCTTCGTGTACAATTTACGTCATATTCAACTTTATGGTATTATTAACAATCAATAAAAATTATTATTAGTTCGTCGCTAGAGGGCGCGAATTACAAGAAATATGACGGAAAAATTTTGCATTGGGACGAGATCTGCTCACCAACCTCGCTCCTAAGGCGCGATCCAAAAAAAACAATTGATGAGAAATTAAAAGATAAGTTTACAACTGAGTGGAAAAATGAAATAAATAGGAAAAATCAAATTCTAAAAATAAACTTAGAACCTACAAACTTTTTGAAACCAAATTAGAACAAGAAAAATACTTAACAATTATGAAAAACAGTGAACTTCGCAAATCCTTAACAAAATTTAGACTTGGCAGCCACTGTCTGAAAATTGAAACAGGCCGGCATACAGGATTGGATTTTAAAGACAGAGTCTGCAATATGTGCGACAATGACCATGTTGAAGATGAACAACATTTTGTCATAAATTGTCCTCATTACAATGAAATAAGATTAAAACTTTACATTGTAGCTAATAAATGTATACCAAATTTTGACAAATTTAGTAATGAAAATAAATTCATATCATTACTAAGTGACGAGAAAATGTCAATTCCTTTAGCGCAATATTTAAAAAACTGTTTGTTTTAATACAAGCCAGCAGCACCTACATAAACTAAGCCAGTAACACATTCCTTGTACTATACAAATTGTTATAATTTTTTTTCTTTATGCTTTGTTTTCTTTACTTTTTATGTAGTTTTTTTTTTTTTTACTAATATCCGATTTGTAACCCTGTTCATCCCCTCCGGGGGATGTTGTGTGTTAATGAATAAATAAATAGGTGATCGGGGGCATTGAAATCTAGACCCTCTGAAACGCTATTATCTGCATTTTGAGGGGCACATTTTGCTGACACAAAGGGTTTCAGGAGATGAGATGTCCCAACATTTTTTTTCGAGGGGGAGATTGCGATTGCCCCCTCTGCCCCTTGTGCCGCCGCCACTGGTCTGTATGACACACTTTCAAACTTATCGCCTTTTTTAGAAAATAGCCCGAACCACAGTCCCTCAACGTTGAGGGACTGTGCCGAACGTCACATTGTTGGGCGAACTGGACGAACTGGGTGCGAAATCTGTGGTAACCGCGCCATCTACGTCGATCTTAAAAACTATGAAATACGCATGTGCGCTGAACTTCAACCCATACATGGTTTAAATCTCGATCACTTCCGAGGGAAGGACGTACTTTTCTTCGACTTTCTTATGAGATTTGTCAGTCTGTTGTGGTTTTGCTTCTCTAACTCCCATGCTCTGATTAGAACTATGCGGTAAGTTGAACATGTGCCACCGACTTTTCTAATTACCTTGTCATAATCGGCGAACTTGGACGTTGAAACTGATCGTTCACTGAGATACAGGCGCTGACTGCAAAGGTTGTAATCACAATTGGAAGTTGTGTTTGTTTTTGTCATCCGTGTCGGTGTTGACACGTCACGTTTTATTATTTAACTTTGTGACACCTTTCCATGTTAGTATATCGCAATAATGTCAAACGATGCCGGTGTGATTGATTAGAACACGCCGGGATGTTGAGTAGGCATATGGCAGACGTGACTCGAGGAAAATGACCTTGTCGCATGATCTCGTGCGGGACGTCCAGTGCTGTCACAATATAAAAATTACCACTGAGCAAAACTAAAATGAATGTTCAGAATCACGAAGTTAAAAACCCAAACAAATATTGTGAATTACATATGTTTAATGTTGTAGTTTGGATATGTACTCTGGATAGTATACTAGTTGGTCATAGTCTGGTTACCAGGGTAATACAGAAGTGAGCTGGTCACCAGGGCATTACACAAGTGATCTGGTTACCAGGGTATTACAGATGTGTGGTATTTTATTCTTGTTAGTGTGTCCATTGAATGAGGAGATGAGAAGCGATGATTTTCAATCAAAATATACGCCTTTTTGGCACCTCAACATGGATTTTAATGCGTTTGATGTTGTGTATGTGAATCTGAATCAAACAACTGTTGCACTTGGTGCAGAAAAATTGTTAAAAAACTCTGATAATGTGTGGTGGTTATACTGTTGTTTGTTGATGGGAATCCAAGATTCTGTAACCATGTGACCAAGTATACTGAACAAATTACTATGTTTTCTCAACTCAATTCACTGTATAAAATTTAGTTTGACCTTATTTGACCAAAAACCTGTACTGATCAATTTATTGTTTATTGAATGTTTTACCAACACAAAATACACAAAGTTAATTGAGTAGTAGTTTTGGATGTGAGCATACTGCAGATAAAATAAAGGCAATGTTAAACATGGTGTACTATGGAATAACATTTGTATGGGCTCAGACACCAATGTGTTAATTACCTGAAAAGCCATGCACAATACAGCTTAAAATAGAAATGAAATTATTACAAAAAAAATAATTTGCAACCCCAAAAAAAGCAAAAAAACACAATTACTAATCAATCAAGCATGGTGGTAGCCACACATATGGTACCCAACATCCGTATTCTATTATTCAAACCATCCATGTATTCCAAAAAGTATTTTATTTAAACCTAAATATAAATTTGGGTCTATAGAAGTGATTCTAATATTCAAAGATGTGTTTATTCTGGATATTATGACTCACAACATGAAAAAAGGCGATGTTTATTTTGAATTTTTCAAATCATGTGTTTTATTTTGTTCTTATACATGTAATACACCATATGGTGTAAACCGAGACGTACAGTTTGTAGCTCATCAATTTCCCTCAAGATATATGTGAAGCTAACACTGTCTGAACCAAACAAATGGAATAGGTAGACAGATGTTGGGTTTTAACTAGCAAAACGAAAATTTTTAACAAAAAATGTGTCTATCCACAAACAGATCATGACATAAAATTAATATTACTTCACTATTAGAAAAACAAGGCGCACTAGTTTTGTGTTTTGTCCACCTGAATATAATTATCAATCTTGTTTATGGGTTGCTGGCTGAAATGCTGAAGGTACAGTGTAGTTTTTGCCTAAACTACATGTATATTTATCGCACTCTTGTAGTCTATCTTTTGCATTCTCCACTTATGACGCTCACATCATCTAATTTCATCACGCTTTCTACACTGGGCCCGAATACAGTGCCACAACCATGGAAATAATTTCCTGGACGTTACTGTTCATTGAAGCTAGGCATCAATTTGTGTGCTTCTTGTATTAATTAGCAGCGATCATGGTTAAAATGTGCGATGCAAACATGAGATTAAAGCATGATGGGAAGGTAATAAATATTGGCCAAGTTTGCCATCAATGGGCTATACATGTAGGAAAGCGCTAAATATGCAACTGTCTTGTAATAATTGCGTGGTGTGAATACTAAAACAGGTTGTGCGAAAGCTGTATTGTAATTCTATGGGGAAAAAAGATTGTGTGCCTTGCATCATGGGGTGTCCTATAGAAACTAGTGAAAATGACATCACTCGTATTAACCATTTTTCAATTTTCGTTAATTTCATCAAATGATTGCAAAAGGAACCATATATTTTATCACATTTCAAAAAAATTGTTGGTTGTTATTGTAAACTTCATTTAGCAGAGTGCCAGACTCTAATGATTAGTATAGTTGCTAATATATTTATTTATGTATTCCTGAATGTTTACTTTACTATTTAATTACCAAACGACCAATCATATCACAGATATTTGCTTGGTTTACCCAGCAGCACTTTATTGGAACCGAACTATTGCTTCTCTCACCAATTTACAGGAACATTTAAATGGTTGTGGCTGTACATATTTGTGGAACAAAATTTGGGCTGGTTGTAGCAGCGCCTTTGAGTGGAGTTTCTCGTTAGGTAGGGCTGTATTTATACATGTATGGTCATTTTGATAGCTCAAGCTGCTGTCCCATTAAATTCTGTTGTTTTAACGAGGTAAATCTTGCTGTTGAAGTCTATGCAATTTCTGTCTAATAACCCAATAAACTTTGAATGCATCATTTTCTATGTTAACCTTTTCACCACCAGAATTTCTAGCCAATTATTTCTGCACTTTTTTCTTATATTCTTCAATATTTCTGGAAATGAACACTAATTTTGAAGCCGACAGACAAAATTTGAGTCAATTTTCACTCAACATATTTGGTTATTTTTCTTCCAATCTTCTGAAGGAAATTGCAGACTATAAACAGGATGATTTTGTAAATTTGTGATGAAAAGAGGGAACTGGTGGTGAAAAAATTTCCATATTTTTTCCTATAATTTTGTTAATATTAAACACAATTTGCAGAATTTCCCATTGATTCAGGTCTTGATAAATTCTATACAAAAAATATTGAAAAAATTATACAGGGTTTATTTTATGATATTGATAAACGTTAACTTTTGCTTTATTTTCTAGAAAAGGATGTTTTGTAGTATATTTGGAATACCAATTTAAAACTGTTATAACTTTTGCTGGTAGAAATTTGTATGACAAGTGGTGTCAACAGGGTATATATTTTATGACAATAACATGTACATGTATCCCTGTCTTTCCTACCTAAAGAACCCACAGTGAAATTTTCACAGATGCATATTTTTGAGTTTTCCAAAAAATAAAGCATTTTAAAGGGCGGCAGTCGGCGTGCCGCGTCCTGTTCGATACGGGACTCATAGCGACGTATACAACGCGTGTAAAATACATTGTTTATTTACATGAAAATCGAAAATCGGTGCATGACGACCACCACGCTTTAAATTAATATATCATGTTGATGTGTTGGGTACTATGAATACTGTAAAATATTTAATTTTCCCAGTTGGATAAAATTCAGTGAATAAAGCTTTTTTCTATATTTTAAATTCAATCATCAAAATTCAGTGAAAATATACTCCATACAAAACACTCAAAAAATCTTTTCAGCAAAAATTAATTTAAGCTAAAATAAAGTTTTTTATTGTACAGCGTACTGGTATTATATATAGTATTCCATATGCACACTTGTGAAGTGTTAACACTCAAACCGGGTTTTATTGATGTTTATACAATGACTATTTGTACTGTAAAATCATTCCCATTGAAATTACCACTATAAATTACCACCAGTTTTAAATCCAATGAATTTAATAAAATAATCAATACTTCCTCTCGAGTTATTATATGCAAGTTCTTCCATATGTTTGGTTTGCTGATATTTCGTGTATATGTATTTTTAAAAACCAAAATTTATAGGGGAATAATTTGCATATTTTTATGTATTTTTCTATAATATTTCTTTGTTAATTTTAGACCTAATGTTATTTTATAAAAATACAGATTTATATGATTTGATTGATTGAAATAATTATTTATAATTATGTTTATATTTTGTGTAACTGAATAAAAATGGACCTTAGCAATGATATGTGTATATGTAAAAACATAAAATGATACTAGAATGTCTGCATTCAGATCCGTACATGTGGGTATAACTTTGTCATTTAAAATCAACTGACCATAGAACAGTTACTATTACATAATACTGTTTTGAAAGCTTACTGTTATTTTCTCACTTTATCAAAAATAAAACTCAACTGCTGTAAATTCATTAATTATTCACTGCGTTATAATAATTTTGTTTTTGTTTACTTATTAATAAAATCTGCTGTATTAAATCTATGCATAATTAAAATAAAATTCATTATTTTACTAATAAATTCTTTAAATCCCAGTGAATTTGGTTAAATTATCAAAATAGGAAAAATAAATTCCAGCGAATATATTATAAACTATTACTTTACAACTTTTTTACGACTAACTCATTAAATCTGATTCATTCCACAACTTGTACCTGACCCGACCCGACCCGACCTGACCTGACCCGACCCGACCCGACCTGACCTGACCCGACCCGACCTGACCTGACCCAGCCCAGTTAAATAATGTGCTTTACAACATACCTTTGCATGAAATATATTATTAAATATATTGATATATTTAATTAATATACTAGTATATGGCTGATATTAAACTAAAATATATTCAGGTGGTATGATTGAATCCAAATCAGTTTGACCTTTGACACCAAAATATGTTCTTTTCTCACAGTAGATAAAAATAATTTGTCCTGTAAAAATTACTTTGCTAGATATTAATGAGATAATGTACTTAATGCTTTGAATATCATATTTTTACTCTCCAATATTTTGATCTTATATTTTTATCAATTTAAACCAAGTTGTTAAATTATCTTTACTGGCTACATAGTCTTGACCAAAATGTTTGAAAAAAAAGATATTTTGGAAAAAAAATATTTGTATTATTATTATAATTATTATTATTTTTTTAATCGTAAAAAATGT